TTCCTAAATCAGTGCTTGCTGAGGAGGAAATTGACTTGCCTGAGATAAATGAGCATTGAGTAAGTGAGGCTCAGGAAAGGTCCAGAAGCCCGTCCTTCTGCAGTGGCCGCCGGTACCGGAAGATACCAGATCTCAGTTAGGGGAGGAGGGGTAGGGTGGCAGATGAATAACCAGAGACTGAACTTGGCGCACAGTTGCATTTACCGCAGTAGGGGAAATAAAGGTAGCATATTGTTGTTAATGAACTTGCCGGTTCTGATTTTCTTGATATTATTGCCGAAACTCAGCCTCTGATCACTGGTACTGAACAGAAATGCAGAGACAGAGATTTGGGTGAAATAGGAAAAAGCAGCTTTAATTGCTTTGCAGGCAGAGGGGGCCACAGCGGGTAATGCCCTCACCATGTGAGAGGATTGTGAGGAGTTTTATAGTGTTCAAGAAGCAGGTTGTGATCAGCTAGAGGATCATTCTCGGACTGGTTGGCATCAAGGTGAAGTTTCAAGCATCCTCGTCCTTCTGGTATCAACCGTCTAGGGTCTATGTACTTGTGGCCAGCAGTTTTCACCTGGAGGGTGTCTGCTTCCTGTAAAAACAGTTTAGGACTATGTGTCAGGCCTGTGTCTATATCTTTGGGGTAACTGGGGTTTCAGTGATTCTGTTATGTGGCAGATTTATAGTCTAAATTCTTACCAGTTCTCCAGACAACAGCAATTCTTTGTTTCTACATCTTCACATTTCCCAAACATGAACTCTTCAGTTAGCATTTTGCTTAAGAAGATAAGGACACAGGGCCTTGTACACAGTTTCATTATGAGGCTACACTTTTCAAGTCCTAGTGGCCCCAAAGACAAATGTACACCTTTTCCTCACAGCCTTTAATAAGCTAATATATCTTTCTGGTGACTGACTGTTCAAAAGAGGGATAAAGCCTATAATGTTTCACACATAATAAAGTATTTCATCATTTAAAATACTGCAATTATTTTTCAAGGCATTCCATCTGATGTGAATGTCTTTATAAAAGTAGTTGAAAAACTGCTGTCTTGAATTACTAGTCTGAACCTGTTTCATAATGTATATTTTATAATGGTCGTAACACCTTCAAGATTGCCTTTTTTAAGTACTATAAAAAATAAGAGAAATTTGTAAAGTAGCAGGTTATAAAAGTAATATTAGAAAATGAATCGCCTTATAACCGTAAGTATAGTAAAATGTTAATGTGAGAACCTAGTGAGTTGACTGTAAAATTCTTTCATCCTTGCTCTACATTTAAATTTTTTCATGATAGAAAGTTGGAAAATAATAAACAACCACAACAAAACAAAGAATAAATTTTTTGTTATGCAACCTTAAACCAGTGGAAGTACTTAGCAAAGAAAACCATGTTTATAATTGTAAAACTAAGTAAAATACCAAATGCTAACTTTCCACAAAACACTCAAAACTCTTCTGAGAAAAATTTTAAAACACTATTAAAGGAAACAAAAATAGAGGAGCAAATGGAAAGACACAAATGGGCATTCTTACCTTTGTAGAGACTTTTGTTGAGCTAAGTGAAGTGCTAGAACATATATAGATACAATGTAAACCCACTAAATGTAATACCATTTTTTTTCTCTTCTCAAGATAGGTAAGTAGTTAGTAAAACTCATTTGAGTACATAAACAAAAACTACCAGAACATTTGGGGAGGGGGAGAAATAATAGTTATAGCGAAAGAGAGGTTAAATCTACCAGTTATTAAAATATGTTATAAAGATTTTAGAACTGAAACTGTAGTGTTGGCTCATGAATAAACAACAGTGAAATAAATTTTAAAAATCCAGAAATACATCTAATTATACATGGAAACAGTATATAATAAAGGATGCACTTCATATCAGTGACAAAAGATGAACTGATGTATGTTACAATAACTAGATAGTTATATGAAAAAAGATAAAATTTTAATTCTTCACAGTGCACACCAGAATATATTCCAGGTGGATGAGACACCTAAGTTTAAAAAATAAAATTATATAATTGCTAGAAAAAAGCATGGATAAAAAGCATTCTATACTTTGGGAATGAGGCATTTTTTCCATCTATGATTGAAAATCCAGAGGCAGTAACAAGAAAATAGATTTTTTTTTAAAAAGTGTTTTTATAAAATATAATTTCATGCAGAAAATACCTAAAGTGAGTAAGAGAAAAATGACAAACTAAGAAAAATATTTGCAACTTAATCTGAAGGAATGAATATATATATTAATAAAACTGTTTTTAAAACAGAAGAAAATTACTAACTTTTAATTAAAACAGATGGCATAAAATAAATACAATAGCTTTGAACTATATGCAAATATATTCAACTTCACCTGTAGTAAGAAAAATGCAAATAAAAATATACTGTTACAGCATTTCTCACTTATATGATGGAAATCCAAGTTTGAGGACATGCTCAGTTGTCAAGTTGTTGGGAAATGAACTCTCTTTGCTAGTGGGAGAGCAAATTAGTACAACCCCATTAGAGGGGAACTTGCCAATATTTAGCAAAAAACGCTTGAACACAGCAATTGCCTTTCTCAGACTAAATCACCAAAATATTCAGATAACTGAGAAACACACATTTTTCCAAGGCTGTACATTGCACTACTTTTTAGACTGTTGGTTAGCATGATTATTATTCTAAGAACGTTACCTGTTTATTACGGAATTCAGGAAATAAATAATTGTAATGGTGTCATTAAGAACCAGAATTTTCCTCATTAAAAAAAAAAAGAGAGAAGTGTAAGAGTGTCGAGATAAGCAGAAACCCTGTGGTCCAGATTTTGAATTGGAGGTAGCAGTGTGGATTCATGACAGATCTGATCATCTCCAAAAAAGGATTCCTGCTGTAAACACACGGCAAAGGTCTGGACCCAGTGAAAAGCAGTAAGCAGAAGGTTGGGTGGTATTTGAATGGTGTACATGTGAAACACAGAAGTGTCTGCCATTTGAGATACTAATGTGTGCTCTGAAAGGAAAAATAGAAATTCACATTATTTGGGGAAATTCTGAACTTCCTCCTTGGAAATTATGCTTTATGTTAAATACTCTGAAACAGTCTCTCAGTAAAGAAATCGAGTAATGTTGAACACAGTGGCTGTGGGGAGCACTTTGTTTTGTAGGGGAATGGACTGGGATTGTAGAATCCCTGTTGTTTCAATCCCACACAAATGTGTCATTGAAAATAGTCTGGGCAGTACTGCTGTGAAAGTGAAACTCAGTCTGTGGTTAACTATTTGTCATAGAGGGACAGGAGGTCTAAAAAGAGTTCCTGGTATTATCACATACTTAACAAATAACTAATTTAATACAAGTGTTGTTTAGAATCTATCAGATACAAATGCTGTGTTCAGTGCTGGGAATGTAATGGGTGTGAAGAGGAAAGGAAAGTCTGGTAGAGCATTAAAATGCAGTGATACTATTAATTTTATTATAAAGATTCAAAACATTTTATGAAGATCTTTGTGATCAAGAAGCCAATTATAAGCAACAATTGTACTATGCCATGGAGTGAGAATTAAGTTATGATGATCAAAAGCAAGGAGGGACATTTCTGGCAAAGCAAAGAGGTTGGGCAAAGATAACTTAACATTAGAGTTGATGTTTACAGGGAAAATAGCCATACTTGTGTGGAGCAAGATACGTATGTGTGCGTGCCTGCATGCTAAGTTGCTTCAGTAGTGCCCGTCTCTGCAACCCTATGGACTGTAGCCTGCCAGGCTCCTCTGTCCATGGGATTCTCCAGGCAAGAATACTGGGGTTAGTTGCCACACCCTCCTTCAGGGAATCTTCCCAAAATACATGATATACATGTGTGTGTGTGTGTGTATGTGTGTGTGTGTGAAAATTATAGGAAAAGGGTGAGATAAGGCCAATGAAGTCAGAGAAATGTTGCTTCTGGGTTCTGGTAAGTGTGAGTTGTTATTATGGCTGATCCCATACATGACCTTGGGAAGGTGATTTCATTTCTGTGAGGCTCAGCTTTCCCATCTGTATAATGAGGACTAATAATATTTAAGTCACACAGTGAGGATAAAATAAAAAATCATGTATATAAAGCTTTCAGCACAGTGGAGGGCACTTAATCACTGCTGGTTCTTACTGTTAGTAGGCAGAGAGGAATCAAGTGATGAATGTCCTCCATTGTCAAGGGAAAGTATTTGGATTTCATTTTGCAGGCAGTGGAGAACCATTGCAGAATTCTGAGCATGAGGGTGAAGTGATTAGCTCTGTGGTTTGGAAATATGAACATGGAAGAGTGAGTGAATGCAGAGGGACACCTGGCATTGTGTCCTGATGGGAGATGAGGAAGCATAAATGGGACATTTGTAGTGTGGCCAAAACTATTCACTTTTTAAGAGGTTTTGGTTATTCGTTGGATATTTGTATGTAGGAGGGTGGACTGAGAGACAAGAAAGAATAAAAAAAAAAAATAGAGACATCAGGGTTTCCAGTCTGAGCATGAGAGTTGCCAGTAATACCAACACCTCAGACAACACAGGAAGAAGGGCAGGTGTATAGAAGAAGGTAGTGATTTCAGGCGTAGTATTTAGTTAGTTTTCTCTTACTTTTTTGGTCTATCACCCTTCTAGAGTAAGTCAGCTTTGAAGATTTGAATGTGGTGGCCCAGCTTCTAATCCCATTAATCCCTTGATTCTCTGGGACCACTGTGTTTTGGAAAGTATGTTGGCTTATTACAAAGGTTGTGATTGTGATCATTAGAAGTGCTGCTTCTGAGATCTGTCAGATATTTCAGAAATGAACTCCAGTAATGAACAAATATCCAGTAATGAACTCCAAAGTCAAATACCCAAAACCATCAAAGCAACCAAACATGGTAGCCAAATGTGGATATGTGGCCTGCAGGACTGTATTCCTCAAAGCATTGCTTTCTTAAGCAGAGTTGAAAGTAAATGCAAATTGAAACATTCTCCTCAACGCCAATGTTTGTGTGTTTCTTGTTTCCATGTGCAGGACAGGAGAGAATTGGGAAAGACTCCAACTATGAGCAGGAGGGTAAAGTTCAGTTTGTGATTGACGCAGTGTATGCAATGGCTCACGCCCTTCACCACATGAACAAGGATCTCTGTGCTGACTACCGGGGTGTCTGTCCAGAGATGGAGCAAGCTGGGGGCAAGAAGTTGTTGAAGTATATCCGCAATGTGAATTTCAATGGTGAGTCTCTGTGTTTTTTGATCCCCCTCAGGCTGACATGGGGAGTTTATGTTTTAGAAAAGCAACATCTAGAGAATGCCATACAACTCTAGTATGTCCGAAGTATTATATGTAAAACTGACAATTGCTCATAATGACAGTGAAGCATTGATACCAAAGTACTTTATGAATCTAAGAAGTCACATTATGGCAAGTATGATTTTAATGTTCTTATATATTTACCAGTATTCTAATATGCTGACATGTGGTAAACCAGATAACCAGAACATCCAATTATGCAACTCTGGGTGATACATACTTAGTGGAATCTAAGTTTTTGGCAATACAGAAATTTGTCGTAATCATCTGGTATATTTTTAAACATATATTTCAGAATTCCAATATCTTGGTCATGTGATATATTTTGCTTGAGCTCATAAGGCCCCACCATCCATGGGATTTTCCAGGCAAGAATACTGGAGTGGGCTGCCATTTCCTTCTCCAGGGGAACTTCCCAACCCAGGGATCGAACCCAGGTCTCCTGCATTGCAGACAGACGCTTTACCATCTGAGCCACCAGAGAAGCCCTATTAAACATATTTAGACATCTCTATTCCAGTCTCTTTTGGAATCCCAAGTGCTGATATTCTGTGTTTCATCAGTTAAGTAGTCAGATTACAATTTACTCTTGAGTATGTGGATTACATCATTTTGAATGATTGTATAAGTGCTAAATATATTCTTTAGCAGTGAGTGAGCAAATGAATAAATAAATTGGGGACGGTTATAGTTTACCTGGGTCTGTCCTGGTGACTCAGAGGGTAGAGAGTCAACCTGCAATGTGGGAGACCCAGGTTCGATCCCTGAATAGGGAAGATCCCCTGGAGAAAGAAATGGTAACCCACTCCAGTATTCTTGTCTGGAGAATCCCCATGGACAGAGGAGCCTGGTGAGCTACAGTCCATGGGGTTGCGAAGCGTCAGACATGATTGTGCAACTTCACTTCCACTTTCATGATTTACCCTCTTTTTCTTAAAATAGAAAGGTTTTTTTGGCCAAATTTTTCCTTCGTGAACTTAAGTAGGAATGGGAGTGGATAAGAGGAAAAGGAAGGGTCAGTTGCTCTAGGTACTCAAGTTAATTGAGATAATGATTATGATTTTCTGCAACACCAAAATCTCATATTACAAACTTATTTCTCAAGCTATAATACTTTGGTAGAAATTAATAGGTTACCTAAAATAAATGAGTAGAGATGAGTGGGGAATATAATAGGAGATTTATTATGAGCATTGGCTAACACAGTTTTGGAGACTGACATGCCCCTGCGATCTGCCACCTATAAGCTGGAGAACCGGAGAACCAGTGGGATGCTTTAGTCCCAGTGCACCAGCCTTGGGGTCAGAGGGTCAGTGGTGTAAGTTCTGATCTGCTTCTGAAAGCCAGAGAACTAGGAGCACCAGTGTCTGAAGGCAGGAGAGGATGGGTGTCTGCTCAAGCAGAGAGAGTGAATTTGCCCTTCTGCCTTTGGTTCTATTCATACTTTCTAGGGATTGGGTGGTGCCAGCCCACATTGGGGAGCATCACCTGCTTCATTCTGTCCAGCAATTCAACAATTCTTTATTCACTTTAACCATTCTTCCAGGAACAACCTCATATATACACAGAAATCAAGTTTTGCCAGCTGTCAGGGCTTCTGCAGTCAAGCTGACACATAAAATTAACCATCTTGAATGTCAATTATATCGTGATTAAAAAAGTAATCTCTACATGGGATAATGCAAAATTTTATACTGTAATAAACCTAATATAGTGCATATGAATAGTGTAACCATACTGCAGGGAGTGAGAAAAAAAAAGAATGCAAGTAATTTTTGAAGACAGTATTTCACTGTACACTGTCAGACTGAAGATATGCAGAGTAGTACACAGATAGTGCACAGTAGCTAGAAGTTAGTATGTTTTTTCCCACAATTCTGAGGCTTATTTATGTCCATAAGAGAACTGAGCGATTTAATAAAAGATATTGCAGAAAATGAGAATCAGGCCTCTCATTGTCAGGGAGAGAAATGACTAGTAAGGGTGGGAAAAATTAAAGTAACACTGTGTTGATTATACCAGCATGCAGTATACGCACACAGTTAGAGAGATACAGAAAGGGATAAGGTCACGTCTGTATGTCTACAAACCTCTACGTCTCCACAGAGAGTGCCTAGGAGTGATGACATCCTGATAGAAATAACTGCACCTTCATTCACATCTTATTTATAAATGCCTTTCTCCAGTGAAATAGAGCTAGGGATCTCTAGTGGAACTCTTAATTCAGGGGCCAGAGCAGGGCAAGTAGAAGATGAGCTTGAAACCATGCAGTGCCACAAAGTAAGAAAGTGCTGAAAAATTGATGGGACCATGTCGAAGGGGCAAAGGAACCAGCTTGAAGAAGATCCCACCAGCTAATTCTAGACCAATAGTGGATTGAACTGATATAATATAATAAATATCAATGGGTTCATGCTCATAGAAATAAATAATTGAACACATAAATGCAGGAGAAGGGACAACATGATGGGAGGATGCAAAGATGGAGATACAAAATTCACCAAAGACCTCAGTAATAATTGCTTAAGGTAAGAATCATCAATGGATGCTAAAATTCTGTGGCTACAGTAAGATGAGAAATAAGATATTTTCATAGCTTCAAAGTATAATTCATCATGGAACATATTAATTACAAAGGGGAAAAGAGCAGCTTTGAAGTAGAAAAGCCTGGAACACAGTACTTAACCAAGTCATCTAGGTTAATGTCACCAATAATGAGACTTAACAGCGTCACATGCTGCTAATCATTCAGTTCAGTTCAGTTCATTCACTCAGTCGTGTCCGGCTCTTTGCGACCCCATGAATCACAGCATGCCAGGCCTCCCTGTCCATCACCAACTCGGGGAATTTACTCAAACTCATGTCCATCAAGTCGGTGATGCCATTCAGCCATCTCGTCCTCTGTCGTCCCCTTCTCCTCCTGCCCCCAATCCCTCCCAGCATCAGGATCTTTTCCAATGAGTCAACTCTTCACATGAGATGGCCAAAGTACTGGAGTTTCAGCTTCAGCATCAGTCCTTCCAATGAACACCCAGGACTGATCTCCTTTCAGATGGACTGGTTGGATCTCCTTGCAGTCCAAGGGACTCTCAAGAGTCTTCTCCAACACCACAGTTCAAAAGCATAAATTTGTCAGTGCTCAGCTTTCTTCACAGTCCAACTCTCACATCCATACATGACCACTGGAAACCATAGCCTTGACTAGACGCACAAATCATGAGATATGTAAATCAAAACTTCAGTGAGTACCACTTCACACTAGTCAGAATGATCATTATCAAAAAGTCTATAAATTATAAATGCTGGAGAGTTTTTGGAGAAAATAAAATCCTCCTACACTGTTGGTGGGAATGTAAATTGGTGTAGTTATTATGCAGAACAGTATAAAAGTTCCTTAAAAAACTGAAAATTGTGCTACTGTAATACATGATCCATCAATCCCACCCCTGGCCATATATCCAGAATAAACCATAATTTGAAAAGATGCATGCACACCAACGTTTATTGCAGCACTGTTTAGAGTAGCCAAGACATGGAAGCAACCTAAATGTCCATCAGCAGGTAAATGGATAAAGAAGACATGGTAGATATATTGATATGTACAATGGAATATTACTCAGCCATAAAAATGCAACCATTCCATTTGCAGCAACATGGTGAAGCAAATGAGACAGGGAAAGACAAATATCATATGATATCACTTGTATGTAGAATCTAAAAGTAATGATACAAATGAACTTATATATAAAACAGAGACTCACAGACTTTGAAAACAAACTTAAGATTTCTGAAGGGGAAAGGTGATAGAGGGGATAAATTAAGAATTTGGAAATAGCCTACACATATTACTATATATAAAATAGATAATGAACAGTGACTTACTATAGCACAGGGAACTGAGTATTTTTTAATTGTCTATATGGGGGAAAAAGTTATGTATATAAAACTGAGTCACTTTGCTGTATCCCCAAAACTAACACAACATTGTAAATCAACTATACTTTAACAAAAATAAATTAATTTTAAAAAGATACCCAGAAAGGTTACAGCATCACTTCTGAGGTCTTATTGCCAAAAATATATAACCTCCATTTAATCATGAAAGAACATCAGACATCCAAATTGAAGGGTATTTTACAACATAACTGGCTCACACTCTTCAAAAGTGTCCAGGTCAGGAGAAAGACAGATGGAGGAATTGTTCCCGACTGGAAGGAATTTAGGAGACGTTACTATTAAATGCTATGTGGAAACATTGATCTTAAACCAAAAAAAGATATGAATGGGACAGTTATTTTAATAACATCTGTGGATTAGTTTTAAATAGCATGATAGCAATGTTAATTTCCTGGTTTAGATAATTGTGGTTTAAAAAATATTCTTGCTTCTTTTAAATAATAATGCATTTAAACCCACAATATTGGATCAGTCATTGAGGAGTTACTTAGCATCAGGGTGAAGAAAAATCACATCCAGTTTGGGAGCCAACAGTTTCCAAGCTGAGATGGAGACAAAATTGACTATGAATACAACCAGAAAAATAGTTCAACTACAAATCATCTTCTTTTTGTAGTTTTCTTGCTCATCATACAGAATCTCCTAAAATATATAATTTTCCCAGAACCAAGTACATATAAATTTCATCACATATCCTAGGGTCATTTGCTGGATTTTGTATTCTGGTCCATAGATAAGCATCACCATTCAGAAGCCAGTAACAACAACAATAACAAAAAATAGGCCATTTTGCGAATATTTTCGGTGATTCTCATCTGATTCTTCTTCTGCAGAGTGCTTATTGACTCATTTAGTTAAGATGGTCTTATCCGCTGATGAACCAGAGTTGCTGAGTTACTGGCTGGACTCAGGGTCTATGTCCCAAATAAAAAGTATATGCCAGAAACTGTCCTAAGTACTTTTTT